GACCTGAAAGTATCTATCTCTCTTTTGGGTTGATAGCCACTTTCAAAACATTCGCAAAATAGTGCGAACTCGAGTTAGTATAGTTTGTCCGTGTATATTTTAAACTAGTAGTTGTTAGATTTTCAAACAAAGCATCTTTATTGTATTATGTCTCGCCACCCTCGGAACCCACAATCTCGGGCCAGAAAGTGACGAGCTTCGCTTTCTGCAACTAGTTTTGAAATTTCAAGTTCGGCGAGTTGCAAAACTGGCGTGCAACACTAACTACACCAAGGCAGATGTGCCTAAAATGCGATAAAACAAAAAGTCAGAAACTATCTCTATTAGGTTTAGAAAAGCTAGCTTAGGCCTGGAGTGACCATTATAGTAAAACCATGTATAGTGCCCAATCAGGAATAGTTCCTATGACTAATACAATTCTATTAAAGACATACCTCGATACAACATACTAACCCATTTATTGAATGTAGACGACAATGGATGCGAAAATGACGTCATACTCTACCAACCCAATACTAACATAATAACAACAGAATACTAACCTAATAAACAAGTGACTTGGTATGTAGAAGGAGTAGTGGTTGTGTACTGGCAATCTCCAATTTATCTTACTAGAATCTATTCTTTTTACTTCTCTTATCTTTCCCTAATCATGCCTAGTTCTAATTTGAAATAAGAAAAGACCAATAGTGGTAAGATCAAGTATACAACTAGCAAACATCATTCTAATCAATGAACTGGCATGATAAATGTCCAATCTACCCCCTGACAACGGCAAATGGCTTAATTTTTTTACCCCCCGGTATGAATACCCTCTCTGATACCAACATTAAATCGGATGCTAAATCAACATCAACCATTGATTTAGATATCCAACCAACCCCCACTACCGATCTGACCTCTCGCAAACGAATTGTCCTACTTTGCCGATTTGTAGCTATCTATTTCTTTGTTCATATTCTTATATACTCATCTCATAACTTTCGCGAAACTATTGGCAAGGAGATCTTTGGTCTAACTTCAGCCCAATATTCACTAGTAGAAATGACCAGTGCTGTTAAGCTTATTGGAGCCGTAGGTGGAACTTGGGTTTGTCAAAAAGGCCTTCGTCCTCTTTATATCGCAGGCTTGGCCTGTTTAGTCTTTGTGACCGCTTTAAGTCTTCTGATTATGCAAGTTACAACTCAGGCTTTCGTTAATTTATTGTTAGGAATGACTATTATTATGTCGGAATCGGCTATTCTGCCAACTATTGATGCTGAATGTCTCTCTGTTCTGGCCAAGTACGACTTACGAGGTAAGTTTGGGATTGTCAGAATGTTTTCTACTATTGGACATGCCATGGCCTACCCTTTGAACTACTCAATCCAGCGCTTTGTCTTGCGGCAAACAACTATTGCTACTAGTGTTCTGGTGAACAGTATGATTTTTGGAATTATCTCTATTATGACTATTATGGTGGCAATTGGGACAGTTGAGAGGGTTAAGATTGAAAAGAAGGCTAGTAGTAGTAGTCAAGAGGAGAGTAAGTATTCATTCACTTCATTTTCACCTACTTTTATCTTATTGATTATCTGCTCATTAGGAAGTGGTCTGTCGCGATCATCGTTGCAAACTTATTTAACTGAGTACTTGCTTACTCTTCGTTCTAAGTCGCCTAATGATGGCTTTGTTTCGTTTGTTTACTTCTTTAGAACTCTTTGTGAACTGTTTGTTTGGTGGATTGTTATCTGGCTAGGAAACAAGGCTTGTTTAGAATTACTTTTCCCGTTAGCTATTCTTTTGGGTGCTACTCGGTCTTTGCTTTACTCAATTGATCTTTCTCGGCACTCGGCACTCTCTTTAATTCCTTATCTAGCTGAGTTTCTTAAGTCTACTTATTCGGCTCTTTTCATCTATGTATCGGTGCAGTTGGCTTATAAGTACTCGCCTAAGGACCAAAAGACTCTAGCCCAGGGTATCTTTACTGGTGCTTATAGTGCCTTTGCGGCATTCGTAGCTGGTGTTATTGGGTATATTGTCTTCTCTACTTCTAGTCTTTCTGGAATTGCCACTCGCCAGCGCCTCTTTGGTATTGTTGGCTGGCTTGGTGTTTTATCGGCCCTACTTGCCAGCACGATTTACTTCAAACACCGGGCCAAACCCTCTTCCTAATCCAATCTTCCCCTAACTAATCGGACTATCACCACTCCGGCAAACATCTAATAAACATCTTAGACATCTTGCTATCTCATTACTACCATTTTAATAACATTTTAATAACACTAGATTACCACTATCTCATTATCACCATTTCAGTACTATTTCATTACTACTATCTCATTATTACCATTTCAGTACTATTTCAGTACTATTTCATTAATACTATCTCATTATTACCACCTCAACCCAATTCTAATACCAGCTCAACATCATCTTAATACCATTCTAATACCATCCTAATTCTACCATTCTAATACCATTCTAATACCATCTCAATTGAGAATTAGAACTGGCTTAAAACAGACAATAAACTAATACCAAACTAATAGTAAGTCGATCTATTTATTAATAAACTCTATAGCAACATAGTCCACATCTATTCCTCCCCTCTAAAACATCCCACACTCCTTACTACCCCTTAACCAGCACCTAATACTACCTTAATACTACCCTAAAACACCAACCCAACCCAAACCAACCCAATACTATCTTATCTAAACTCAAAACTAAACTAACTCAAAACTAAACTCAAAACCAACTTAGCTACTACTAGCCTTATCTTTTAAAGTCTGTTCAATTTTCTCTCTAATCCTTCTTTTATCCCTTTCAGTCTCTGTGCACTTACGCTTACCTTTTTTATACTGATTAAGACTAATTCTTCTTCTATCTACTGACTTAGTTACTCGTTTCTTTAAATAGACCCCCTGCACCATTATTTCGGAATTTTCACTATTTTTCTATTTAACATTCTCTATGCTTATCAATGTTATCTAGTTTGTTTATTTATTATTCAAATCAAACATTCAGAGATCAATCTATGTCTCTATTAGTGGCATTCGGGCGAATCTTAAAAGAGCACTGATTTATAAACACATGCCAGAGAAAGAAAGAAGACCAAGAGATAATCAGATAATGAATATCACCCATTTCTCAGATGAAATAGATGAGGCCGATGAAAGGGAAGACTATCCCATGGACCATTTCTCCTCAATGGCCTTCTATCGCAAAGAGGATCCACAGGAGTACGCGTTTCCGCCTGAGGAGAGGCAAAAGGAGTATGAGAAGTGGCGAAACAATCCGGAATGGGAGTGGCGCAGTGACTATAAGGACGAGTATGCGTGGGATGAGCGCAAGAAGAAGTCTCCTGAGCCCACTCGCAAGAAGTCTAAGTTTAGAGTTTGTACTAATTGTGGTACAACTTCAACACCTTCGTGGCGGCGTAGTACCAACAACAAAATGCTACTTTGCAATGCATGTGGACTCTACCAAAAGTTGCATGGAACCGATCGGCCCTACAGCATTACAGTCGATGGCAAAACCAAAGCCATTAAGAGCAGTATAGATAAAGGGGTGTGCCGCGGCTGTGGTGTAACTCAAACTTCGTTGTGGCGAAGGGGACACAGTGGCGAGTGGCTCTGTAACTCATGTGACCTATTGCATACTAAGCCTGCCCAAGTGGAAGAGGAGTACCAGTCGCAAGAGACCTGGAAGGAATATTCCGGTGAGTACCAAGAGTACCCTAACTGGCCGCAATACACTGAGAAGGACACGTATTCTCAGGCAGGATTTAGGTATGACGAAGAGAAGAACGATGGGTACTTTTCAGAGGGGGGGTTTAGAGACTTATAGGAATAAAAGAGGTGGTAAATTAAGCCGTAATTAATGGGAACTCTACATGAGAGTTGTTTACTTCATCCGGCCCAGGTTGTACGCAAGGAGTTTATGGCCCCAATAAGCACGGCTGGGCTGTGGGGGATTGAGGTGCAGTCGGGTAAGCATGTGCCAGCACGGGGCTTAGGCGATCGTTTGGCTTATGGTGCAGTGAAAGGTCTGCGGGCAATTGCTGACGTAGTGTTTTATCATCGGTATGTTCATCGGGCCATTGTTTTGGAGACAGTTGCAGCTATTCCGGGTATGGTGGGGGGAATGGTTCGTCATTTTCGTTCATTGCGGAACATGAAAGAAGATGCGCATATTCGGACATTGTTAGCTGAGGCTGAAAATGAAAGAATGCATTTACTGACTTGGATGGAAGTATCCCGGCCTTGGTTGATAGAACGGGTCATGGTCATGGCTTTACAAGGCATCTTTTTCAATGCGTATTTAGGACTGTATTTGCTATCTCCTAAGACAGCCCATCGTTTTGTTGGTTACTTAGAAGAAGAGGCGATTATTTCCTATTCAGAGATGGTAGATGAGATTGAGAAAGGGATTATTCCTAACACAAAAGCGCCTAGTATAGCCAAGCGGTACTGGAACTTACCGGACTCGGCCAATCTTTTAGATGTTACCTTGGCCATTCGTGCCGATGAAGCAGCACACCGGGATGTTAATCATGAACTAGCCGATAGTTTAGCAGAGGATACGGGATTGGAATAGTTTTAAAGCCAACTTAGATTGAGTTGAGTTGAGTTGGGTTGAGTTTAGTATTGAGTTGAGTTGAGTTGAGTTAATTGTTGAATTGAGTTAATTGTTGAAGTTGTTTGGATATCAATGCTATCTGAATAGTATCTAAATACCAACATAATACCACCTAAATACCATCTAAATACTACCTAAATATAACATACTCTTTATTAGTTTAAGTATCACTTAAGCAACACTGATTATATAAAAACGAACCAAAAGCAAACACTGCTGAATAAAAGAAAGGCTGGATATGATTTTAATATTGAATTAGAATTTGAGTTAATATTGATTTGAGTTGAGTTAGTATTGAATTAGGGTTTGAGTTAATATTGATTTGAGTTGGGTTTGTGTTAATGTTGATTTAGGGTTGGGTTTGGGTTTGAGTTGAGTTGGGTAGTGTTAAGTAGTGCTAGTCGGTTGATGGCTGGGTATTGGATGGTTGGAAAGGAGAGAGGAGGGAAATGGTGCGGGGAAAGGAGAACAGGAGAGATGGTTTAATAAATTAGGGGGAAGATTTATATGGGCATGTGGTGTATGGAATGGATGCGGACTCGACTGAATCGGAAGATTCCAGTTGGAGTGCAGAAGCGGATGCGGCGGGTGAAGTATTGGTTGCTGGGATACAGCAAGGAAGAAGTTATGGCTAGAGAAACACTATCTAACTACAAGAGCGGGTCGATAAAAGAACTGGGCATGCTTATTGCAGGTGCCTTTATGAGCCGGGTTTGTATGGATGCTTCATTAAGGGTGGCATTCGAGCGATTGCGGGCTAAGGAGAGGGCGGGTATTTCTAAGGCAGAGCAGTACAGTAAGTCACTTATCTTTCTTCAGAAGGTTGGAATGCAAAGTGATATCGCCAAGGAGGAAATAAAGAGGAACTACCTGACTATCCTGCCCTTTGTCTTCTACAACAACAAGGGAAGTATAGCTGTAGACATTAGAGTGGTTAGCATTGCAGTACTTAAGCTGGCTAGCCAAGACCGGTCTTATTACGTCCGCAGTGCAACCACGTACATAACATGCTTATCCGATCCTAAGGAAAAGGTCAAACTCAAAACCAATAGTGATCTTAGTTCGGGATAGTATTGGGTAATTATGAGATAGAGACGTTGTCTTAGATAAGTGATCCTGTCTGAGCGCACGCATTAGTATGGACTGTCTTTGGAATGCATTGATGGAAGAAGAGAAATGGCTAAAGCGTTGGGTTAAGATTGGAATAGCTGGAATTAGTCTGGGTTTAGTACTGGTAAGGGCTGCAGCCGATCTAGGCCAAGGTCAGCCCGGCGAGCAGTTAATGAAAACCAATGAAGCTGCTTATAAGCTTGTTGCCGGTGCGGCCGAGGAGCAGTGGGGCGTAATTAATCTGATTACCTTTATACTGCGCAAAGAAGACAACTCAACCATTGCCCATAAGGCGGCTGTTATTTGGCCAAAGGAGAACCAGGAAGTTCTAGAGTGCAAAATAACAGGGCCTGGTGGCAACGGTACAGCTGAGAAAGACCAAAAGTACAACCTGTTCTACAGCAACACTCGTGAACATGATAATGAAGCCCCCAATATAGAACTTCTAGTGCGCATGAATAAAGACAATCAAAGAACAGTTATCAAACGAATTGAAGGGGCGAAAGTGATTGGCAGTGCCGGGGCAGTTAAGGCATACGTAGTGTTTATTGCTGATCGAGAACGTCTAGGTGGAAAGTAAGTAAATAAAGATAGCAGTGTTTAGTAAATGTTTAGGCGGGTCGATAAGTAGTTTCACAAAGCAACAAACACATTATGTGAGCGGCAGGCCGATATAAATACCAACAAAAAGAGACATTAGGAATAGCCTATTGGCCAAATGAAAACAACTAATTTAAGCACAATAATGCCAGTCGATGACAGGATATTTAAGAGTGCAATTGATAAGAACAAGAATAAATAGCTGAGTGAATAAGTGTCCATGGAGAAGTCTTATTGCAAGTTTCGAATCTTGATGATTCTACCACTCATCTTTGTGGTTCTAGAAGCTCATATGCTTAACGAAAAGCGAAAGTCAAAACAAGAGGTGTTTCCTTATCTGTATCAGATTTATGAGGATCTCAAGCGCTTGTTCGGACAAGATCCTTCTAAGAACGAAAGCGTAGCTCCTGTTGAGAACCACTACATCACTGTGCCAAGCGAGTTTCATTACTCTGGGCATATAGCTAACCCCAATCCATTGGAGCATATTCTTCCCTTGAAGATGCAGTCTGGTCCCTCTACTTTGGTTGCCGATCCGGAACAAATAGATGAGAGTATAGCAGATGAGCTAGAGTTAGAAAGCCTTAAACCCGAAATAATGTTGAGTCCTTTGGGCACTGAAGAGTCCGGTTCATCAATACCGCCTGCCAAGATTGAGTCAACAAACTCCGTGCCCAATGGCAAGCTTGCTACCAAGGTTGTGGTTGGAGGCCAAAACGTCGAGGAACCCAATGTTGAAGCTAATGCTCTAGTTGAGAAAGTTGCCGAGAAAAAGATCCCAGCTAGTCCAGTAGTCGAAGGTGCCGATGAGTCAAGTGAGCAAACCAAGGTTCTACTTGAGAAGTTTAACGAAGAAAGCTCGCAAGACAAGTCATTAGGTGAGAAGGAAGAGTTAGGTGAAACTGCGGATGAATCTAACAGCCAATCAAATGCTACCGAATCTAAGACTCAGCTTAACCCAAGCACCGAGGCTCTTAACGAAGAAAACACTCAAGACAAGTCATTAGGTGAAACTGCGGATGAATCTAACAGCCAGTCAAATGCTACTGAATCCAACACTCAGCACAACCCAAACACTGAGGCTCTTAACGAAGAAAGCACTCAAGACAAGTCATTAGGTGAAACTGCGGATGAATCTAACAGCCAGTCAAATGCTACCGAATCCAACACTCAGCACAACCCAAACACTGAGGCTCTTAACGAAGAAAGCACTCAAGACAAGCCATTAAGTGAGAATGAAGAATCTAACAGCCAGCCAAATGCTACTGAATCTAAGACTCAGCTTAACTCAAGCACCGAGAGAGACGAGGAGTCAAACGCTGACACTAATGGCCTACTTGAGAGATCAGAGGACCTTGAAGAGTCTAGCACCGTGTCCAACATTCTAACTGGATCCTCTAGCACCGAACAACATAAAGCCAACACATTGCCGACTTATGTTCACCGCACTTCCAAGTCTGAAAGCAAACACCACGGAAAGAAGCACACCACCTCTGAATCAAAGCACTCTACATTGCCTCGCAAGAAGACACGCGGACACCACAGTAAGTCGAAGCGAACTGTTCGAGCAGTACCTGAAGCCCCAGCACGGCCAAGAAGCCCATCTCACAAAATGAGCACTACCAACGCTTTGCCACAAGAAACCTCGACTTCCACCCTCATCCCTAGTTCTAATTCTAACTCTACCACCGACCCCATTCCAAACAACACGCCTGCTCTTCTCAATCAATCCAATGAGCCACAACCCAAAGACATTCCTGCCACACAAGTCTCTAGTAAGACAGAGCCCCGAGTCGATGAGCCAAAGGAGCAGACTAGTACTCTTTCAGCTGAACCCGTAGTTGCTGAGACCAAAGCCGTCGCTAAGGAATTCAACGAGATAGTCCCTGTTTCTTCTACTCCAGACGAGTTGGTCGTTTCTAACCCTACCCAAGTAGTTGCTCGTAAAGAAGAAAGCACCGACGACAACGAACCAGATTACATCTTTGGAATCTCTCCTTTGAAACCAGTCCAAATAGAAGACGACACCGGAAGTAATGGCCAAATGGTACACAAAGTCCGTCTTCAAAAAGGATCAGTTCTCTTCTCCAAGCCTGCCATTGTCACCCAAGGTTCCGAATCAATCACCAACAAGCAGTTTGATGAGGGAATTTACGAAATCTCAGAAGGATTCTTTGTTATCTCCTCCAATAAGCGGCACTCCACCCCAAAGAACAATCTGCCCGCTCTTAACAACGATGCTGAAGAACTTGCCACCTCCGTGGTCATCTCCGAAATCACGCCAAATGACGAGCAGACAACCACACAAGATCAAGCAACTGTCTCAGAGAAGGAAGCTCCCTCAGAACAGACAGCCATGAAAGAGGACGAGCCCGCCACCGTTTCAAGCGAAGGTCAAAATGTACCATTAGAAGATGACAACGCCACGGTGTACTACGATGAGGATGATGATTCCGAAAGCTCAATTGGATTTGTACGACAATACATGTACAAGCCGGTTGGTAAGAAAAATCGCCGTATAGACAAAGCCTCCTACGAACAATACTACCCTAAGGGCCGAGACGGTAGCTCAGTCGATGACTCTACTTCTGTCAACAGCCAGAATACCTCCACTAGTTTCACCTCTGATAGTGGTCGGTCTTCTCCCAGTGCATGTAACAGAATGAGCACTCTCGTCACCCACAAACTAGTAGCCCGCCTAAACCCCAACACCAACCAAATCGTAATGTGTGCAGCCGCCCCTGCTCAGTAATACCTACCGCCCAGTAACAGATAGGAAAGGTCTTATCTTTACAACTTCTATCTTTGATAGATTTTTGAGCGGTTGGCTTGTTTGAGCCGCTGCTGTGTACCAGTTCTTGTAATAAAGAGCGATTAGCAACTAGTGTTTCATTAATTTCGTATTTCGTATTTCATTAACTCAACTCAACTCAACTCAACTTACCACACCACACCACACCACATCTCATCTCACCTCAAACCAACACAACACAACACAAGAGGAAAGCAAATCTGATTTATTTCATGTAGCGGCCTGTCCAGCACCTTTAGCCAGTTATTGCGAGCTGGTCGGGGGAGTAGGCTTATTCGTGGACGCATACTGGTGTTTTTTGATGGGACTAATAGCAGGATTCGGTTGGTTTTGATCTATCGCCACAGAGCCAGACTTAGAGTCGGTCTGAGTTGATGGAGCTTCCTGCTTATCTAGAGGGTTTTGTGGCGAAGATTTCTCCTTCTTTGGATTATAGCGCTGCTTGGGTTTGGATTTGTTCGGGTTATTATTGGGCCGTGGACCTACTTCCTTAGCAGCAGTCTTAGTCTCTTCATAAAGCCGTTTGAGTTGCGGAATTGTTTCTTGCTTAAGCGTATTAAGCTCTTTGACCAAAGCTTGGCTCTGGCACTCAAGTTGGGCATACTCTTCATAGATAGTGTTTGTCATGACTTGAATAGGTGGGTTCGTTAAATCACTGACTTTCTTTAATGGAGCAGGCACGACATGCACATGCTCATTAAGCACATCTAGCATATAGTTTTTGGTGTGGTAGTAAGAATCCTTGGCCGCTTCTTTATCCAGAAGATTGGTTGGGCTTGGGTTAGTATAAATAGTCATCCAGTTATTAAGAGCACTGGGAATAATAGTGTCTTTAAGATAGACCAAAAACAAGCCGGCTTGATTGTTATTTTTGGCTAGATTCGCAAATTGGAAAAGACCATTAACGGCACCTTCTTTGGCCTTAGATAGTAACCGATTGGCAAGAATATCTGTCTCAGAAGGAAGGTTTATATGGGTCACATTGACCTGGTACTGGGTTTCTAAAGACATTCGTGGCTGTAAGTTAGGTAATGGACTTTGCCGAGGAGTAGATAAGATTTCCGTAATAGGTCGATCATCCGACTCATCTACCATAAGCACTTCTTCCTCGTTGGGCTCGGGCTCAGGAGCATTGAAACGTGCTTCTCGATCGCGTGTGTTCAAGAGATAGTCGCATCTGGCCTCCTTAATATATCTTTCGAGCTCTTTGCGTACATAGTATCCAAGTGGAGTCTTACCTTCACACACACGTCTAATGAAGTCCTTGATAAAGAACGTATAGTTGCACTGTGTGCAGCGCCGCGAAACTTGTGGTTTTTGGCCATTTCCAGCTGTTTCTCGGCCACAGACGGGGCAGGGCACATTGTAGAATCCGGTGGCAACTGTTTCGCCTTGTTCAGCTTTATTGGCAGCTTCGGCAGCTGCTTCAATCAATAGGTACTCTTTCTCGGTCATTTCTGTTCTTCTCCGCTTGACTACGGGAAGATCGCTTACATTGCTGATGCTAAGACTATCATTTGGAGATAGTGCGGGATTGTTCGTATTAGAATGAGTCATTTCGAAGATTTTTAGCGAAAACGTGGTTTAGTATTGGGTTGATATGGGATAGAGTTGAACTGAGATGGAAAAAGATGGGGAAAAGAAAGTAGAAGTTGGCATTGCGTTGGTTTGGTGTGGGATTGAGTTGGGTTGGTGTGGGATTGAGTTGGGTTGATGTGGGGTTGAGTTAAGATAAGTTAAGTTGAGTTAAGTTGAGTTAAGTTGATGGATGATTGAGTTAGTTGTTAAAATAGAACTGTTAAAATGTGCTAATGATGATTTAGTTAGTATTGAGGTGGGATGGAGTGGGGTTTGGGTTACGAAAGGGCTTGACTAATGGCGGAATAGTATCTTTTGGCAATTGTGATTGCTTCTTGTTCGGACGTAATGTTGGCATTGACCGGCAGACTTTCAATGTCCCGGGAACTCTTATCGGCCTTTTGGAAGACTTTAACCAAGAGGGGCTTATGTTGGAATAAACGGGCTGTGCTTTTCTGAAGGCTTTTTAGATCAAGACTCTTTTCAATACAGAATTCAATCTCGCCAAAGGTTTGAATGATTTGCTCAACTACAGTGGTGATGCTTTCTGATGATTCGGCTGCCTTTTGAGCCGCTAGAGCTTTCTTTTCCTTCTGAAGTGATTCTCGGTCCGTAAGAGATTTAGAAATCTGTAGGAACTCTTGAATGGTCGTATTGGTGCGGTGGTGGTTTTTTAATGCATGATCGTTTATCTCATCATGCTTTTTCATGGTTTCAAGATAGTCTGCTCTTCCTTTTTGGGTACACAGTAGTTCTAAAGCCGCCAGAAGTTCAGCTGAAACGGTTGCTGTGTACTGCATGCGCTTCTTTTCTTCTTTGATGCTTTGGCGCATCATGGAAAAGAGCTCTTGGGTTGATTGCGATGTATCATAAGAAGTTTCCGAAAGAGTGTCCAAAAAGAACTCCATCTTAACTAGCGGATCTTTCTCTACTTCAATTTGCCGGCGGGCATTTTCAATACTCTTCATAATACTAGCCGGCGAGTCTTGCGGAATATTACTGGCCACTATCTCCTGTAACCCGCCAACCAGGACATTAAGACACTCAAGCCGGTCCTCAGGCGAGTCCGGATGTTTATGACTCAAGACCAGAAAGGCATCCTCAACTAAAGAGCGCATATCAGCACTTTCCAAAAGAGACATTTGCTCGCGAATCGTGTTTCTCTTGAGAGAGTAGTGCGGAATGAATTCTAAAGGAGCGGCTACCTGGGCATTTCGGCGCTGAATCTCTTCCAGTAAATCTTCACATACTTCATTGAACTGAGACTCAGAAAAGAAGAAGACCTTCTCAACAGCCTCTCTTTTCATGCCTTCAACCTTAGTAGAAGGCTTACATCCTAAAAAGTCCCTGAAGACTTTCTTTCGTCTTTGAATTTCATCTTGCGCCTTGTTTTCCATAGAGTTTCAGCTGTTTTGCCTTTTATGGCCGTATCTATAGCAACCAATCCGAGTTTTTTTACATGGCCGTTCGTAATGATCTAAAGCAAACTGCTCCTTTTCTATCTCGAGCCGTTCGCAAGACTCTTAAGACCATGGATATATCTAAACTAACTGAAATACAACAAAAGGCAATTGTTCCGGCCTTAAACCATGAAGACGTCCTAGGCATAGCCAATACGGGCTCCGGAAAGACACTAGCCTTTCTTATTCCCGCCGTACAGATGCTCCTGAAGACCAAAGACCTTAAATCCCCACGAGTACTAGTTATTTCTCCCACTCGAGAACTAGCCATGCAAACCAGCCGAGTAGCTAAGAAGTTACTGGCTGCTGTTCCAGGGGCAGAAGCTACTTTACTGGTGGGAGGCACTAAGAAGTCCGAAGAGTCCGCACTGATCAAACAAGGCAGTGCGATTCTAGTATGTACTCCAGGCCGTTTACTAGACCATTTAGTTAGTGGCTTATCTCTGCAGAAGATCAAAATGGTTGTTCTTGATGAATCCGATCGGATTTTAGATATTGGCTTTGAAAGGAATATGCTGGAAATTCTATCCTATATTCCCAAGAAACGCCAAACTTTAATGTTTAGTGCGACAGCTACTCCTAATGCATTAACCAGAGCGTGGCTATCTCGTAAGCATGCAGTGGTTGAGGTCAAGGAGGATAATCAAGTTACAGCGGTTGGTTTACAACAGTCTTATATTGTGTGTCCCGAAGAGAAACGGTTTTCAGTCTTGTTTTCCTTGCTTAAATCAACATCAGATAAGATTATTGTGTTTTTTTCAACTTGTGCTTCAGTAGTGTATCATGGCGACCTCTTTACTTTGCTTAAATTCAATGTTGGTCTCTTGCACAGTGGAGTAAAGCAGGACAGACGAGCGAGAGTCTTTGACTCCTTTTGTTCGGGCGATTTACAGATTCTCTTTAGTACTGATGTTGCGGCTCGAGGTCTAGATGTGCCAGGAGTTAGTTGGATTGTCCAGTACGACCCGCCTACTGATCCTAAAGAGTACATTCATCGAGTAGGCCGTACAGCTCGAGCGGGCAGTACAGGTAAAGCTCTACTATTCCTACTGCCTTCTGAACGCATTTTCATTCAGTACTTGAAACATCTTGAGATTGTAGTGGAAGAGTGGGTCTTTAGTGAACCCAAAGACATCACCGACCTGTACATCAAAACAGTTTCTAACAACTACTACCTGGAAAAGAGTGCCAAAGAAGCACTTAGATCTTACCTCCAGGCATATGCCGGGCACAAGCTAAAGAAGGTCTTTGATGCCACCAAAATAGAGCTGCACCAAATCGCCCGTTCGTTTGGGCTTAACCAGATGCCTAATATTGATATTACTATTGGTGCCAGCAAAAAGTAAAGTACTTGGCCCAGTTAGTGTTATGTGATGCAATGAGATTGAGTGACAAGATAAAATTAGGGATAGAGCAGCAGGTACACAGCAATAAATTGAATGATTAGAGTACTAATTGTAATTGGGTTAGCATAATAACTCCAGACGAACTCCATCTTAACTAATACAACTCTATTAAAGACATACCTCGATACAACATACTCGACCATTTATTGAACGTAGACGACAATGGATGCGAAAATGACGTCATACTCTACCAACCCAATACTAACATAATAACAACAGAATACTAACTTAATAAATAAGTGGCTTGGTCTGAGGAAAGAGTAGTGGTTGTGTAACGGCAATCTACAATAAGTAAACCGTTTATAGATTAGAAGGTGATTTTTTGATCTTCTTGTATATGTAATTGACGCGATGATCAAGAGGCACTTGGCCTTTACGAGTGCGTTTTTGGAATTTGCGCTTCCATTCTACTCGCTGGCGAAGTTTCTCTTCTTTTCGTTTTTCTATCTCTATCTCTTCTTTTTCTCGCTCTTCCCGGCGTTTTTGGTTTTCCTGGTGCAGTCTTTCCAAATATGGTAATGGTTTAGAAGGAGTTGATAATGGAGTTGAATTGAAAGTTGGTGCAGGAGTTGCAAAAGTAGATTTAGATGTGGATTCAGGCAGAGACTTTAGAGCTTGAGCCACGGCGGCTTCTCTTCGTTGGGACTCTTTTTCAGCTAGTATTCTAGTCCGATAAGCACGACGTTCATTCCAAACCATTGAAAATTTTGGGCTGAGTTGAGTTTAGATTGAGTTGGATTGGGTTGAGTTGAGTTTGAGTTGAGTTGGGTTGGGTTGAGTTGGATTGTGTGTGTTTGAGTTTGGATTGAGTTGAGTTAGATGGGATTAAGTTGATATTGAGTTTGGATTGACAATATCTGATAATTACAGTGAACAATGATTGTTGTACTCTACTAACTTAATAACAACTTAGTACTAACTTAATAACAACTTAATGTTGCACGCCAATCTTGCAACTCGCCGAACTTGAAAGTTCAAAACTATTTGCAGAAAGCGAAGCTCGTCACTTTCTGGCCCGAGATTGTGGGTTCCGAGGCTTGCGAGACAGAATACAATAAAGATGCTTTATTTGAAAATCTAACAACTACTAGTTTAAAACATACACGGACAAACTATACTAACTCGAGTTCGCACTATTTTGCGAATGTTTTGAAAGTGGCTATCAACCCAAAAGAGAGATAGATACTTTCAGGTCTTTCGCTCTCTTCCTTTCTTATCTGAAAGTGCTTTAAAGCAACAAACTCTCCTTTTATTGTTCAATTCTTATCTCTTACCATATTCTATGATATAAACAGATCTAGTATAATCGTTGAAAAGAGGCCTTTATTCGTCCTGCTATTGGGTTAGCAATATGTTGTTCGGATCAATGTTTAGCAATAATGCATCTTGATCTATGCCTAACAATAATCAATACTAACCACACGTACACCTCTTTACTCAAGTGTATGTGCCAGCATCTGTAGTATAGTTCCTGGCTCCGGCAAGTAAAAGCTAGCACCAGATTGCCGTATTGGGTTAGTATTGTTATCATAACCCAATCCCAATCCAAATACCAACCCAATAGAGAACTCCTTTACCTTTATACTAACCCAATTACTACCTCAGCTCATCCTATTCAAGTACTTCTGTCAGTGTTGGCCAATGAACCATATCCAACTCATGATGATGGAAATACTAAAATGTCAGCGGACACCTCTAATGAAGTGTCTAAGAGCTTGTCATCCTCATTGGGTTAGTATTGGGTTGAAGGTATTCAGTAAGGCCTGTAGCATAAATCTTTAGGCAACTGCTAGACGGTTGTTTGTGTTTTGGAAGATTAGTATTAATAGCTAGGCATTCACAAGTTGGGAGATCTTTGCCTTTCGTGGTCCTGGCACTGCAAATCAACATTGTTGAATGATGACTCCAAAGAAGGGCAAGTTATATCCGGCAAAATGATAAGAACCTCAAAAGGTTCCTTCATAGCACTCAACTCTGAGTTTTCGAACAGTGCTAAGAGTTGGGCTAGGACTAATAAACCAGCAGGGCCGCGAGGATGCGATATCTCAACACTTTCCACGTTGAGTATGATTTTACTGAACTTCTTTAAGACATCTAGTAACTTCATCAGTTCACTTTCTTCCCAATCAAGGTTCAGGGAAAGCGTATCTTTAGCTTGCAACGAAGTGCTAGATAGTCCATACTTTCTGGGTTGATTATCTTTGTTGATATCAATCATCCTCTAAATAGGGGTGGGTTTCATATTCTAATACGCACCGGTCACAGATACTTTTAAACTCCCAGATAAGCTTTTCTTGCTCTGGGTCTAACCCAATACTAAGCCAATCCTGTTGATCCAACTCGGATAGTTTAAGTCCATATCTATTAAAAGATAACGTAGAATCTTGATCAGCAGATTTGCTAGTTGAGGGAAGTTTACCGTCCATGTCTGATTCGTTAGTTTGGGGATTGCTTGATTGAGTTCTTGAAGTAGAGGGTTCTGAGTCTGTGGGCTTCTGTTCACTTTCACTTTCAACTTCCATGTTTTTAAACCTATCATTAAGTTGAGCTAGCGTTTCTTCAACCATGCCTGATTCGTTAGTTTGGGGATTGCTTGATTGAGTTCTTGAAGTAGAGGGTTCTGAGTCTGTGGGCTTCCGTTCACTTTCACTTTCACTTTTGACTTCCATGTTTTTAGATGTACCATCAAGTTGAGCTAGCGTTTCTTTAATTATCCTAGATATGTTGTCGCGGCTTTTGGGTTCATCATGTTTCAATAATTGATCTATCACTGGATCTATAACTTGAGTTATATCGTCCCAGTTTAACGTATCAATCTTAGGTGGTATTTTCTTTAGTTCTTCTATCATGATCATTTTGATTCGGCTTTTTAATTCATGGGAATTGCATTGGACACCTATTGCGATTAGACCATTTTCAACTATGCTTATTTCGGCATTCGGAGATTGATTTTGTGGGTCCATTGCGTCACTCTTAATTTGTTTTAGTTGTTGTACTATATTTGCTAGCTTACATATGCTCTTTATTCGCGGTCCCGGTTGCATCTGGGTATTCTTGCTTTCCTCTAACCATTGTTCCATTTGTTGGGTAATTATATCAAGACTTTGCCGTTGTATTTCTATTTTAACTAGTTGAGATAGTAACATAATCTTCCTCGGTCCGAATATATCCTTTAATTCGTCAAGGAAGCTGCGACTGCATTGGGTTGACTCCAAGCCCTCATAAGCCTTTCGTTCTGTTTCCTCGCGGCTCTGTTGGCCCTGCTTTATTTGATTTATTCGCGTTGATAGTGTATTCCTTACGAATTTCAGATCGTCTATTGCATTGGTTATCTCATCATATTCCGATACTATTTGACTATTTCTAGCTAACACG